AACAGTGCTCGTTGGATTGATGTTTTTTAGAATAGCTAAAAATGATGCAAAAGTCCTACTAATTAAGGCATCACAAAATGTATAAAGTATTTAAAACATTGTTTCATATCTTAGAAATTTGAAAGAAAGTATACTCACGATAAAATAAAGGAAGGGTTATCACACGTGCAAACTTTAATTTGTTGGACTATAAACAAAGTAATAATGGAGTACATGTATGTGTTCAGAGCGGCATGCAATCACGAAAGCACACTAATGAGTTCGTGCACTGAAGTAAGTCGGACCTAAACAAAAAAATAACAAACTCAATAACCCATACGATTGTTTGTTTGTATGCAATTATGCACAAAGCTACACAAAGGCTATTTGTGCTCTGCCCACCACGGGTATTGACACCAGGTTTCTAGCGTTGTAAGTCCGCAGACATAGCATACGATTGATAACGTTACAGAATATAACTGCTTCACACAATACAGCCTAAAATTATAAAATAAATAAAATAAGAAGTTTATTTCATCACAGGAAACTATTAGTTTATACTTTCTTTTCAACAAATAATTCAAATCCCCCCCCCCAAGTGAAATAAAACGAATAGCCTCATGTGACGTCATGGATGTCACTATGAAAGTGTTTATACGTTGTCAAAAGATGGTGGCGATATTCGTTAATAGAGGTGTATCTCCGGAAAGTACAGTGTATATAAATGACTTTAGTGTACACGATTTTGACTTCCAACGACTAAAGATACATATTCACGCCATTCGAAATATCTATAAGAAATCAGAGGTAATGCCTTCAAAGTCTCATCGTGTACAGTTCTTTATTGTAATATAAATATTTGTTGTATTTAATAGTTTCAGGCCAAGCTACTTGAGAGCTACTTGCGTTTAATTTAGAAGCGATGGACTAAAGACAACGCTAATCAACTCCGCCAGCTGACAACTCTTGCTATAATCTAATTGAATAGTGAGATTGAAAGTCACATTATATGCCCCCGGGCTGAAACACTAATCATATTCGGCAATGGGATTTGAACCCGCGGCCAGTCGAGTACCCTAATTACCAGGTTATTATATTGGTTATAAAACATTGATATTAGATCTTTAACAATGAATTTTGATAACATATATAATTAATGATAATCATACTTCACCAACTTAGAAAAGGTATTCTCACCATAACAAATGCTGACAGCATTTCTATTTTCACACGTAATGGTATTTCTAGAGAATTTTCATGGACACTCTTGGTGGATATTGATTTTCAGAATTTAAATCTGGATTCTTTTTGTCACACTGCTGTGTATAAGTATAGTAATAACTTGAAGTTAAACTGTCCCTACTTTAACGAGAAAACTGTACTATTTCTATGCATACAATGCCTTCACCAGCTAAGAAAATGCATTCATATTATACCAAGTACTGACCTTATTTTTAGTTAGACATTTATTGGTATGTTTAGACACTTTTAACGAAAAATGTTGGTAGAGATATATTTCAGCTCACATATCAGTATTCTCTAGGAACATCGCCGTATTTGATATTAGAAATATTTGAAGGTTAAAATCTTTCTCCTTCACTAGAAACAACTAATGACGTATGTAACACTTACACTCTGAAATTATCCATGTGCTGGACAAAGTTGTACTTGTGCAATAACCTTTAGGATGCATATGCCAACTTGTCTGAGCACTAGATGTGGTCCAGTTCAACCAGAGCTGAACTGGTTCCATGCTGCACCCATTATCACTACCAGACACAGTCTCCATGCTAGTAAGTCCTTTCCTTGACTGTTTTGTTACAGCATCTCTTCTGCCATCATAATGCACATCAAGTGTTCCTCCCAATCGGTTTGACCAGGATTAACAAACTTCACAAGCATACACTTGACAGTCTGTGTCACAAACTCAGTCAAGCCATCTGACTGGAGATGATGAGGCAAAGTGTGTGCCTTTACCACTCCAACAGTGGCTGATAAAGTTGGTACAACATTCTGATGTATACCTGTAACTATCTGCAAAGGCCATGAGAATTTTCTTCGGGTATTAACACTAGTGTGAGTAATAACCTATTCGTTTCCAGTCCTTGGATAATTTGATGCCTCTGGGTTCATGGAATCATTAGCATGGTACAGCCTGAGATCCACATGTGGGTGGTTGATAAAATCAGTACAACACGATGCTGTGCCTGTAACGACTAGTACACGTGCTAAACTATGCATGGGCAATATTCTTCAACCTGTGTTGCCAATGCATTTTGTTGTTATAAGGCAAGGAGTGTCCATGCTATTTCTGGGTCTCTCCTCTGAGCTCTTGAAGGGAAAGCTTTGGCATCCGATGAAATTTCCTAAAGTATGACTTTTCATCCTGACAGCTGAAATGGCTTATATTACAGCTCGTGGTCCTGGATGAGGACGTTCAATGAACAGAGGTGGCCTCAATGTATAACAAACAGGCCATCTGCCTGTTTCTTTTGTATTTCTTAACCTTTTCATACTCCTGCAATATTTAAAAAATTCATGAACTACGTTAGCAATGCATGAGCCACCCTAAGAGTGTATTTTCTTCCACACAAGTAATATTGGTAGTGCTTTACGAATACTATAACTATGGCACTTCACTTGTTTCACCCAGTGGTGGTATAAATAAAAAGTGGGATTCTATTTCTCTGGTCAGCTAATATCTACTGTCCTGTAGACACTGTCTCACTCATTCTTAAACACCTTAGCCTGACCAATACCTTGACAAACCTCAGTCATGCGAGCACCACTCTGTCCGAAGCTTAGTCTCAGGGAAGAGCTTCGTCAGTCATTATGGGTCCATCAGATGATATCTGTTTCCCCTGATCTTGTGGCATCATCAAAAATCAAGATACAGGAGAGTAACTCCTTCGGGTTTTACCACCCTATTTGCAGACTGTCCAACCTTAGCTTCTTACTTAACTTCCTTCTGTTTTGCAGAAAAGGTGAATTTAGTGTAACAACAGACTTTTGGTATCCACCAGGATGTTGAAGAGTCTGGCCATTTACTCACTCAGAGATAGCACAAACTCCCGCAACAATTATACCTTTAATCAACTTCTATTCTACGGTATTTTACATTGTACGGATTTCCCATATAGTATTCAGATAGGACCCAGTAACTGGAAATTCAAATGATACCAAGTTACAGATTATATATTCATGTTTCTATCCAAACTTTGACATTAGTTCATCGTGAATAAAGAGACAAACACAGGGGGCTCACAACAACAATCTTTATTCAGTAAAAAACAAATCATAATTACAATACACAAAACAGGGGAAGTGTTTTGTAGTGAGTGTATTGAACTATTAAGAGAAGAGTGGAGAAATCATTCATATATTTCTCTTAACAGTTTAGTGTAATCCTCCTTGTAAGCTAAACAAAACAGCCCTGACAAGTTAGATAAGATTTAGAAGTCCAAAAATCACCAAATCAAGTTAACTTTATTGATAGTAAAATTTAAAGTTAGAGATTGCAAAAATTATTAAAAATTAAAGTACACGATAATCTTAAGTTAAACAATATTCGTACAGGAGCAAACCTAGCTTTATATACTAAACACTAATACAAACCCACGTTTACACACGTGATCTTCGTTCACTGCAATACGAGTGTAAAGGAATGGCAGGATCTCTTCATAACCTATTCGCCAACAGAGAATACAGCTGTCTATCTGTAAACATCAAGAGCTATATTTTCTGTAAGAGAAAATGCGGCTAGATTCCAATTAGTGGACCTAAATATTGCATGCACTAGGGAAAGGAAAGTTGAATTGCTGCTTACTTGAGCGACTCTTTTGCTCCAAACTGAATTGAATGAAAATACATAAATCTTGAAAATTTACATATTAACTAAGGTAAGAGCTAACGAATGGTACTATCCTGTATCACAAAGCTAGTAAAAATGTTTCTTGTTTTATTCTCAAACACTGAAGCTGAATGCTTGATCAGCAATATGAAAGATGTAAAAATAGATAAATCAAACAGATTAGAAGTGTCAATATTAAACGAAAACAACCTGTGTCGTTATAATTGAAAAGGAGAAAAACACCCACATATTATTAAGCTGTATGTTCATATTAAGAAACGTTTCAAACATATAAAAGCTAATACCATTACTATTAAATACACCGATGTTCTCTTGTCTTAGGAATGTAAATAAAGGAAGTTTAATATATTTCTATTTATTGATTTCTTATCCCACAAATGATAGTTTATATTGCTTTATTTGTTCATTACGAACAAACACGTTTTACTTGAAACTTTTTCTACGTTTTATTTCAAAGTAAAAACTGAGGTTTTGCGGATATAAGATCCCTGCTACAATTAGTATTAAATATAAATAAATAGAGTATGTCATTATAATCAGCTTTTTTGTGTAGGCCAAGTCGTAATCCTTTAGAGAATATATGTTTTATATTGTATTTATAAATAAACAAGTTTTCATTTAATTTTGTTTCTTTTCATTGCAAATTCAAACCAGGTCCTCTGCATATATGATATTACTTCCAACTAGAGCTAAAAAATACTTGACTGCAGAGTTTACGATTTAGTTATTTTGTGGCTCTCCAGTGGCATGGCTATGGACTTATATTACTAGAAACCAGGTATCGATATCCGTGCTGGGCAGAGAAGAGATAGCCCTTTGTGTAGCTTTGTGCTTTATAACAAACAACAACAGCTATTTTGTGTATTCTACTTTGTAATTTTATTTAGTTTTTTTCATATTTGATGATAAAAATTAACAAAATTGGTTCTACTAGAATTGAAACATACAAAATGCTCGAAGTTTATATAAAAAGTGTTTTGAATAAACTCTAGAGACTTCAGAATGTTCTTCAGAATTGCTGGTTGACTTTCCTGGCTTTTTCTCAAACGTTTTATGTACAGCACTAGGATTTAAAAAAAATTTTCAGGAGACAGCAAAATCTAGAGAGCGCTGAATTATTTGACAGGGTACCTAGTAGCTAGAGTCCTAAATCGTGTCGTTACGACTCGTAGGTTTTGGATGGTTACAAACTGAGTTTTATGTTATGAACATGTTTTTCGTTACTAAAGATAAAAACGATCTAAGTCTGTCTACAGTGGCTATGTTTATACAGTTTTGTGTTAAGACTTATATAGTTCGATTTTTCTGAAGTTTTGTATTGTAAGTAAAGTTGCACTCACTCATTGTCACTGTATTGTTGTTAGTTGCTGTTAGGCCAAGTAATATAATCCTCGGTTAGGCCTAGCATAGAGTAAAAACAAATAGCAAACAAAGAATTTTGAACGTTTTGTTAGTCTTCAAGGATTTGATGAAGATCAAGTGTTGAGTAGAACAGTAGTAGGCTTTTAAGTAAAGACAAAAGTGTTGAAATCAGTATAAAGCGAACTCTTTCCCTCCCCCACCACAGAAATGTGGTCTTTTAACTTTTCGTTTTACTCGATATTTTAATTTTATTGCTAATTTTTTATTATATTAGTGATAGTTAAAACTACTAACCACATATGTTCTTTAAACTTGGTAAAAATAACCAAACCATGATATATTTATTAACCCTATTAGTAGTTAGAGCTATGTTTTGGTAAACCGTACTCGTAGGTTGTAAATTTGCTGTAAAGGTTTATTTGACTCTTCTACACGTAGAATCTAAAAATTAAATTAAGTCTTTGTTATACCTTTAGTATCTGAAAGTATTATCTTGATTTCCATTTGCTGTATGATTATTTTCAGATATAACACTAGTACTAATTAGTGAATGACATCATTATATATTTTTTTCATGGTACAATAAGTAATCATTTTCTATGTATTCCCTGTTTAAAATCATAATGGTTACTTCACTGCTACCACCGCTTGGCCATTTTGTATGAGACTTGCACATCTGAGCATATTCTTAGGCTCATGCAGGAACAACTCACGTTTTGGCCAAATTAACAGCTTTGACCTCTTCTGTAATGCATTGTTGTTGGTTCTTGCTGGATTTGTTTGAAATTTTGCATCACATTAATGCAATAGATGCTCCAGATTACATCATTTTGCTTTAATGAATATAAAATTTTCTGTAGGAGGATGCCCCTAGACCGAACACACACGTATTTTACTTTTAATAAAGTTTCATTCAAAGAGATTTCTAAAAGATGTTATCCCCATTATTTGTAGGAATAGTAGAAGTAATTTTTTTTGTAGGTAATAATGGAAATGATTTATGTTATGTTTTAAAACTCTCAATAGCAAATTAACAATATTTTTTAAATATTTTGTCTTCACAGGTTTGATTGTCATGGCTACTTTTACAGCAGAACCAAACCAAATAATAAGGGAGCTGCAAGTGTTTCTTGCAGGATCTACGCATAGTGGTAAAGTTCGCCGTGCAGAAGTCACTAACTCAGCTTTATTTTTACTGAAGCATTTGCCTGTGGCTAAAGAAGCAGTTCTTGAATTTATGAACAGTTTGTTTGATGAAGCAGTAAACAATCGCATTTTAAAAATAGAATTAGAAGACAATGCCACAGTTGCAAGCAATGTTGCATCTGATGAACACTTCTTATCAGAAGTATATTCTATGCTGTTTTCATTTGTTAAAGATAACCCTGGAGCTTGGGCTCCTATTATATGCAAATGGACCTTGGGCCTGCTTGGATATCTGAGTAGTAAGTATGCTGATCGACGAGTTGTGCCTCATCCAGGAAACTTTCCTGAAGTACTACAGCTATGGATGTCCTGTCATCCAACGAGGACTTTGATGAATTTAACTACCCAGTCATTGTCCATTTTGATAGAGTCTGATCCAGATGTGTGTATTGATTCATTGCTTGAAATATCTGTACAACATTCACCCCATTTTGATTGGGTTGTTGCACACATCGGCTCTTGTTTTCCACAGACAATAATTTCTCGGGTTATAGCGTGTGGACTGAAAGATTTTTGCATGCACCAAGACGCTCAACAAAAAGGGAACCTAAGCTCAGAAAAAAATGTTCCACGCCTAACTTCAGTTGTTGGTATTCTTGGACATCTAGCAGGGACTTACGGCACTGAAATACAAAAAGCTTTATTTGAACTTTTTCAGGAAAGCTTTGTGGATAATCCAACTAAAGAGCAGGTGCTTACAGTTCCTTTCTTACTGCAGTTAGCATCCTTATCAGATGTGCTTCTTCGTATCACAACTTCAGAATTTGTAACAATCTGTAAGTATTACTAATTTTATGATCTAGCTTAGAAATGCTTATATAAATAGGAAAAAAAAATTCTGCACAGAAATGAAGTTTTATAGGAATACAACAACCAACTCATTTTTAATTTCTAAATTTCTATAGATAATTCTCAGAATTTTATTCAGTTTTCACCACAGCCAAACACTCAGTTGAAGACTTCAAACTTCATTCATCAGGCACACAGATTTTGTTTCTCCACAACCAAAATGTTCTTTTCCCACAAGGAAGAATCCCTTATGAAAATTCAATATCCCAACTTTATAAACTTTTTTTTTCTGTCTAAGTTTTGAATAGGATACAATTCTCAACAGTATATGCCTTCGCCATAATTTTAGTAACATACGTAAATATAGAAATATTACTATATAAAAAAACTTTCCATATCATTGAGATAAATAAGAAATAATAAAAATGTAATAATGGACCCATTAATTACAATTTTCAACTTCTAAAGATTGCATTCTTTGCTTTCTCAAATGAAACCAGTTTTTATTAAATTTACTATTTCCATAACATCTGAAGGCAACCCTTTGAAAGGCCAATTACCCTGTTAGGAAAATATAATTGACTTAGTTGAATATGATTCCTACCCTGCTACTAATTTCTGGGTATGTGAAACCACACCTTGCTTCATAATAATTTATGGGTTTGGAATGTGTATTGTAAAATTCACATGCATGAATTAATAAAATAAATTTTTAGGAATCTTTAGTTTACCACACCACATACGAATGCTGTAGCTTTGTAAACAAGCACCATGTTTAAAATAGATTCTCAATTAGAGAACATTAGTATTTAACAAAGATGTCATCATACTATAAAGGTGATGTGTGTATTTGACACGTTTTATTTTGTTTTTAAATATGCTATACTCGTATGAAGTACTAATATTTTCCACCCAGCTTTAAAATAAAAGTAGGTATAGCAAGCTAAAACTTACGAATTGCTCTTTTCTCCAAGGAACAACTGTGATGCTTTTTTTTAAATTGGAGATAATCCACCCTGAGTGGTAGTAGGAAACACTACTTGGCAAGGCATGTTTCAAGTAATCCATCAGTTTTATTTGAGGAAGACAGATTGACATAATCAGTTTTTAAAAAATTATAATTTTCTAGTATTAATAATAAACCAGTTTTGTTTAGTAGCAAAACTATTCTGATGTAAATAATTCTGTTTGTTTCAGTGATCTTGTGATGAAGCTGTATAGAATTAATTAATTAATCTTTTTTTACACAAACCTAAAAAAAAATTCTCATTTTGCCAGCCTTCAATTCTTATCTATAAACATAGTAATCATTTTGTCCTGCTTTTTTTTAAAAAAAGGTAAATACAAAACATTGAAACCTGGGGTACCAACTATTGTAAATTTGTTAATATTATTTGGTGTTAAAATGTAATCATGTTTTTATTTGTTTGGCCATTAGTGACTCCAACAGTCTTGAACAACCTAGCTAAGCAAGCGAGACACTGGAATAAGGCTGCTGTCTTTTCGAGTAGTAGTATGTTACACCTGGTGTTGCATCTTCTTCTCCGCAGTGCAGAAGGAGGATGTCAAGTAGTCCAGTCTTTGCTTGATATTATCACACCATCCAAGAACCAAATCCCTATTGATGAAAAGGTAATTTCTTGGATTTTTTCCAAGAGACAAATCCTTACTGATATCAAAATACAAAGCTAAATAGTGTAATAAAATATATTAATTTTAGAAGTATTTAAATATTCTACGATGACAAAATAATTTTGTTATACCTTTGGAAAAACATTATGTTTATTTATGGGGAAATTAAATCAGGATGTACCCAGTTGCTAATAAATACATATCTTTAGGTTGTAAGAAATTTGTGCTTTTATGAACCAAATCGTCATTGAATACGAGGTACTGATTTATCATTCCTGTCCACTATTCAGAACATATAATAACAGAATGCACTCTACCACTCACTAGTTTGTGGACCACTTTAAATATCAGGATGAAAAAAAATTAGTTTTAGGCTAACCTTCACTGCAATACATTTATGAAAAAAATAAAATGAAATTTGGAAAATGTAAAGTATTTTTCAAAAAAATATAAATGTTAATCCTTTATTACTTGTTGCACTACTACCATAAACTACAATGATCACACCTGCAATGTTCTTTTGAAAGCTAAGCAAAATGCTTATGGGTTGTTATAGTAGTCTACTTTTCACTATGCAAAACCATGATGTCGCTCCACCTTTTCTCACACATTTTACTTAGCCAAGTGGTTCTTAGCCTTTTTTTTTACTGCAACCAAAAGTCTGGCCGCGGGGCTAGCTTGGCGATCCATGCTTTCAAATAGAACTCCTTGGTGCAGCCACTGTTGAACTGCAAAGGAAAGTTTGGACAGCGACTGGAGACTCTTGGCAACCCACTCAAAATAGCTTAGTGAATCAGTTTTGGAGTTGTGATCCAAGAGTTAAGAACCATTGACTTAACTCTAGGTGAATTGCACTAGTGCTTTGTACCAGCCCAATTTCTATGAAGCAATACATAGCAAAGTTTATTATAATTCCGAATTTACTAAGTGTATCTTCACAACATTTGGTAGGCTTTTAGTAAACATTGCATGTATGTTAGAGATAAAAAATCAGAATTTGTTCTAAAGATTTGTCCATGAACTTGAGTTAGGCTGACTAGCCTGAGTGCAAGGGGACTTTTCATATTTGGAAAAATAAAACATTTTTTCATCTTACAGTTTTCATATTTCATTTGCATAACCTCTAGAACTTCCTAAATGGATATAAAAATTCTTTCTCTGTATAATTTTGTTTCATCTGTTATCTCCACTGTATCACTAAAAGTTGCAAAATCATCAGTGTAGTGTTAAATGCAAAGTTGAAAAAGTCAAAATTTTTAGGTCCTGATGTTTTACCAAATAATTCCTTGTAAACATCATATTTGTTCAAAAATGTGGTGTTCGCAAGGGAGCATAAACGATTTCATGCCCATTAGATGTTTCAGTTATACACAGGCACCATTTTTCCATCCAGAATACAATGATGATATATCAAAGCTGGTGCTCAAGTATTTTCAATAACTTCCTGGTCTGTAGCAAGTTTGGAAAAAAACTTTTGCTTGAGTTTCCCCTGTTATGTTTGTTATGACAACTGTTCCAAGAAGTTTTCCTTTCTGATACTCTGACAACCAGTTATTTTCAATAACTCCCTGGTCTGTAGCAAGTTTGGAAAAAACTTTTGCTTGAGTTTCCCCCGTTATGTTTGTTATAACAACTGTTCCAAGAAGTTTTCCTTTTTGATACTCTGGCATTCCAGAGATTTGTTTTCATTATGAATGTTTGGAACTAGCTTTCCATTCCAATGTAAGATTGTATGTTTCAGTGGGTTATATGTTGTATATATGTTTTTAGCAGTAGTTTTTTTATCTTTTTTTTCGTGCCTGCTATATGCTTTTTACTGATAATGTGGTGTGACCTAATGATGCTCCACTTTTATAAAAACAACACCCTTCAGTGCTCTTTTTTCACACATAGTTTTTCTTGATTGATGCACATTTGTTTCCTCTCCTATTTTTGATAGTGCTTCCTGTACAGAGAACCTAATTCCATTTTTCATACAGACAGTTAGCCTTGTAAAAAATCTTGTTCTCTAAGATTATGGCTTTTTGTTCTGCATGTGCCACTTTCTATTATTTCAATTGCATTTTCATGTCCAATATCAAAAAGTATGTTCATAGAGTCAAGGAAGATATCTCTTTGGTCAGGAAAACTTTGCCTGGCTTTATTTTTTCACAGTTGCTTGTCAGTTTTGTTATGGAATAGCCACTTTGTATAGATATAGTTGGAATTCCAGCTAATTCCTAAAAGCATTTAATTTTCAATACATTGGCTTTTACAACTTCTTGCTGACTGTCTTTGAGCATTGGGCCATGATTAAGAAAGAAGTAATAATGGAAAACATCAGCATTTATTGGTAACTGAGATTCTGTTTTTAGTTCTAAGTTATCTGTCAAGCTGCTGGAATGCAAGTCATGCTATTAGTTGATGGACCAGCTGTTTTAACCATGGCTGTGCCTGAAAAGAAAAACAATTTTCAAACTTTGAGTACTTACAATTTACTAGACATTATGTTTGGTTAGAATGACTAATAATTCAAATAATAATGATTTAATACTTTTGAAATGACCTTTTGGTGCAACCAGATGATCCAGTGATCTTCATAATTTGATATTCTGATACCTCATGGCCATGTTTCTATCAGTTATGATGCAACTTAGAGGCTTATTTTACAAATTTTAGCCTAAGAAATCTATTTGATCTTTTAAACTTCAAATGATGTGTGAATCAGTCTAAAATAGATCACATGAGCTCAAATTTTGAATACAAGTGTAATTTTATATTTGTCACATGACAGCATGGGGGCGACTGTGAATTTTAAAACTTTTTTTTTCTGCAATACCCAAATAGAAATGCATGGGGGGGGGGGGGGCTATAGCACATTTTTGTATGGAACAAAAGTTATCTTTTTTATTGGCTACTAGTTGAGTTACCCGGCATTGCACAGTGAAAATTTAGATTTGAAATGTATAGATCAGTATTTTTTCAGCAAATTATTAGTAGACAAAAGCTGTGATGCAAGAAATAAAAAAGCATTTAATCAAACAAAGTTTTATTTTAAATTAGATCGTGTTTGAGCTTGTCTTGTTCTTTGAGCATGAAGTCATACGTCATGTTGCTCCTCTGTTTCTTGCTCTCTGTAAGTTATTTGTCTTAATTTTTGTGCTTGAAGTTTGGTTTGACGTTGTTCAGAAGTTTCTTGTTGTCTATATCCAGCTTGCCTTGATGATTCTGACTGAACTCTGGCTTTGTGATGTTCAACAGTTTCTTGCTGTCTTTGAATAGCCTGCCTTTCAGCTTGAGCTCGAAGTCTAACTTTACGTTGTTCCAAAGTCTCTTCCTGTATTTCAGCAGCCTGTCTTGCAACTTGTATTTGAAGTCTTTGATTGCATTCTTCTTCTGTTTCAGCTGCTCTTTGTGCTTGCATTCTTTTAGTAACAGAAGACTTTCCATAGAAAGGGTATTTCTTGGGTGACATAAACACCTGTATCACTAAAAAATAACTTGCAATTTACAAAGTTACTAAATCATTTATAAAACTACTTAGCTCAATTTAAAGAAAAATGTTTTTGGAAATACTGAATTGGTAGCAAGGTGATCTGAATGTCTCCCGCCATAACGCTTTCTATGTGCAAAACGTGCTTATGTTTGTATGTTATTATGAAGTTAATCTAAATTACAATTTAACTCAGTTTTAGACTATTTGAAATTGTAATACGTAACAGACGTCACATAAGGGGCGCTTAATGTTGCAATTTGTACTGTTTTGACGTCAGTAAAACGTGCACATTCCATGAATCACGAAAAGAACCATACACTCTGTAGGTTACGACAGAGCATGCCATATGAACTTCAAAAGCAATAAATAAAAATATTTGTTAATCTTATGTTTGATTTTATTTACTCTTGGAACAGAACACTTTCCGGGACCCTGTGGAAGTACATCTAGTTGACAAAAGTATATGTTTTTAATATAGCCCCGTAAAATATGCATCTTATTAAAATTTCCCCTAAACACGTATAAAAATATGCAAATAATTCTTACGAAACAAGTAGTTAAGAGATAAGAATAGGTTTTTTAGATCTAATAACAAACAAGAAAAGTCTGCAAAGTAATTCTAAGAATTAGTTTCATATTTTTCAACAGGTCCCCCACGAGCCAGTGGGGGACGTTTTGTTGAAAAAAAACACTACCCAATCCGGTTTTTTTTAACTTGACATGAAACTTTTTGGACATTTTCATTGGCTAAAAAGAAGGCATTTCCCGCACTCTTTTAGCGTTGGAGCTGCGAAAAGTGATTTGAAGTGGTAAGGTGACTGAAATCCGTCAACGCATCACGAGAACAAAAAGCATGGAAGATTTTAAATGAGACGCAGTGGTGTTCAGGAACTGTTTAGAACCACCTTGGTATATATTGTGCAGCAAGTCGAGTACAATATTATCCCTGTAGCTGCTTTCAAAGTGTTCCTATCTGCTCATCCTACTGCTGACTATCGTGATGCTTCGATCTTCCCTACTGAAACGTAGGTGAAATAATTCGTATTTCAGTTGAATGTTAAACATAAAAGGTGATAGCAGAAGCATGAAAGTTTGACAGTTGCTTAATTAATGATGCTGAGAATGTGGCTTTATTCATATATTTTGAATTTACTCCCAGCGAGTAGAGCTAGAATGAAGACTTGAGGATACTGTATGTCACTTAGACATTTGTCAATTAAGAAACGAAAACTTGTCTCGTAATTGTTTCGAAAAGATACGTCCAAAACCTCCCTCTTTGAAAGTTTCTGGATTGAAAGATACCCCCGTGGCTCCTGAGGGATGTGTTAAAATAAATACTTGAAAAAGAAATGTTTAAGTATAATAAATATTTCTGTGTGTGTTTTTAATATCCATAATCCTATGTTATTGCTTTGCAGTTTGTGTCTTGTTTCGTATTGAGAATTTGAAATAATTTAACTTTTTATTGTTGAACTCTACCCTGGATTTAATGTTTAGAAATATGCCGATATTTTATTTAATTTACGCTATTTTCCAACAAGATTGATTCACACCGTTTTTGTTTTGACACAAATACGTTTTAATATATCTATATATAAAAGAGGAAGTTTGTTTATTTGTTTATTTTGTTCGCTATAGGAAACCAAACGGTTTAAAGCGGTAATCGGCGTGTGATCAGCGAGAACTACAGAGCTAGATAGCTCCCCGTTAAGTGAATTGTACCTACGTTAACTCGAAATTAACTCGCTCATCGTGAACCCTCGATAAGACATCAACGAAGTTCCTGAATAGAGAAAATACTTTGCATTTCTTGTAAGTTTGTGGAACTTTTGTATATAAATCATTATTTCTAGTAGCTGTTTGTAATAAGCGTTATTGTGAATTGTATTATTGTTTGTATATTAAAATAGAAAACTGCGTGTATCAATCTTGTTGGCAAACATCATAAATTGGAGATATATCGGCATTTACCTAACTACCAGAACATTCATACAAGATCAATAAAGTTCATAAAGCATAGCTTTGATTGTTTAGCAATCTTTTGAATGCTTGATAAATATACAAAAGTATAATTTGATTGTACTGTCATCTTAATTAACAAATAGAGAAGGTTAATATCTTTAGACCTTAGGAACACGTGATTTAGCGTGCTCTGTTTATTAAAAGAAGCGATATTAAACGTTTAAATGGTATCGACAAGTTTCTGTACAAAGATAAATATATATATAAACTGTTCCCAAGCTACTTTGTAATTAAACGAGTAATTGTTAAATTTTCATGCTGTTAATTCCGAATTTGTTTGGAAAACGCTTTTTAGATTCCACAAAACTAATTACGTTTTAATAACTTCATCTCTTATTGTTCCCTATTTTACAAAAAAAAATCTCAGGAAAACTTTATTTATTTATAGTGCATATTGGAGAGATTTAAACATTTTGGCAATAGAGTCAGGAAAAAAACGACATTTTATTTACGGATAATAATAAAAAAACACTTTTTATTTCAATCATCATTTCGCCCTTGTGGCTTCATCAGTGCTAGCAGTACAAAATAGTTATTCTACTAGTAGACCTGGTGATTTTTTGTGTGATTATTATTATTATGAATTTCGTGCAAAGCTACACAAGGGCTATCTACACTAGCCGCCCCTAATTTAGCAGTGTAAAACTAGAGGGAAGGCAGCAAGTCACCACCACCCACCGTCAACTCTTGGGCTACTCTTTTACCAACGAATAGTGGGGTTGACCGTCACATGATAACGCCACCACAGCTGAAAAGGCGAACATATTTAGTGGAACGGATTCGAACCCGCGACCCTCAGATTGCGAGTCGAGTACCCTAACCACCTGGCCATACCGGCCCTTTTTTTGTTTGAAGTTAAGCACAAAGTTACACAGTGGGCTATCTGTGCTCTGCCCACCACGGGTATTGAAACCCGGTTCCTAGCGTTGTAAGTTCGCAGACATACCGCTGTGCCACTGGAGGGCAGACCTGATGAAGACACGAGGGCGAAATGTTGACTAAAATATAAAAAAATTATTATTATGTGAAGAGTAAAAGTCATTTTTTTCCCTCTAAGTTTATTGCCAAAACTTCATTTAATCTACAATTTTATTGAAGAAAATTATTTTTTGTCTTCCTTATACTTCTTTTTTCTCCTAAAACTTTGTTCATTATAACGTTTCACTGGATTTTCATAGTTTCTAGACCCCAAAAGTTTTTTTAGAAAAAATGCAATTTGTCGAGTGACATTTCTGTTGATCTTACTTTATAGGGGTTTATTTAGAAAAATAAAACCGTCAGGAAGGTACAAATCACAGAACCGTATATCACGTGAATAGGCTTTTGATTTCTTCACAAGCCAAGAAAACTGAGTCACCATACATCTTAGATCACGTATAGCGTTTGATATAATAAGACCTTATATATCAAACCAAATTAAGGTGTGAGTAAAAGGTGGAGGAGTTTCTTTCTCTTGCAAGTTTTGCGCCTCGTGATAAACTGAATAGACACATAACCTATATATACACACTTAGGCACTTCACTGTTAGAATATTAGTGGTTATAATATTATTAAAAAGCTGTATTAAAACGCTAAAATCCGGGATCCGATTCTCCGCAGCGGACAGGGCGCAGAGAGTCCGTTGTGTAGCTTTGCGCTGAAAAAAACAACAACAATAACAGCATCAACTAATTTTAGAAGCTATGAATTTGCACACATAAATGAATAAACAATTGTTTGATGAAGCGTGTCCCCCAGTGGCACAGTAGTATGTCTGGGGACGTATACCACTATTAACTGGGTTTCTATACCAGAAGTGGGCAGAGCACAGATAACCGTTTCTGTAGCTCTGTGCTTAATAACAACAGTTGATAAAGCGAAAAAGTGTGATACAATTACACTTCATTTTCTAATATAAACAACTTTTTTGTCAAATCTTGGAATCAAGTAATAAAGAAATGCAACGATTCAAGTTATTGATGATAATTAATTAAATTTATAATGCCAAATCATATTATTATTGATACAAAATGCTGTACTGGACTGATATCTGGATGGTTTTGCACATCAAAAAAGTACTTTAGATACACTGGTAAATAGCATGTTCTAAAAGTGAATAAGTTGCTTGATTATCACCATTATAATTCAACTCCTGCTTTGCCAATGATGAAACATCCAAGGTAATTGCTATTTTGATACAAAGCTGTTTGTGTACAGTCATTAAATTTTATTAGTATTATTTGTTCTAATATTATGTTAGTTAAGCAATAAGTTAATTTACTCCTTTTTAAGGTAATTTCCACGAAAGGGGCCCAAAGACTAACTGGAGGAGTCACCTGTTTTAGCCACTTGCACCACTTTACAGCATTGTGTTGTCTGTCAGTGAGTCAGTAGATATTAAAATGACGTGTGACGGATTTATTATTCTATATTTATTTAAATTAAATGTATATTTAGAAATATACATAACGTATACTGTTAAATATGATTTGCAAAACTCCCGCCTATTCTCTAAAGTTGTAGAAGATTCTCGAGTGTAGGAATCAACAATATATATGTGTGTACGAATACGCTAGTGTTAACGTCAGTATTGTTACGTAAACTGAAGTTTCGAGAAACTCTCCACACGCGTATAAGTATATCCAAAAAAAGAGTATCTATTTTTGGTTTGCTGTAATTGGTAGGATTTAACTGTGATTGTTATAACGCTTATTAATCGATAAACGTAAGATATTTGACCAGGAACATTTATAAATTTCTAACATTACAAACCATTTAATTTCAGTGGATTCACATCGGACATTAGTACTTTTACGAAAATATTATATAACTTCAAAGTGAAAAAGTTCTATTTAAACCTGATAAATTAAACATTTGTT